CGCTTGGTTTTTGCAGCCTTTGAGGAGAACGTAGAACCGCAGATCCTCAGAACGTCTCAGCCTATATTTTTCCTGCGGTTTCTGCGTCGCTGCACGTGGGAAGACTTTGCTGTGTGTGCGCATGTGTGTGCATGTGTGCTAAAATGCAAGGCACCGAGCTGCTGCAGTGGCACCAAGAGCTGATGCAGCTTTTCTCTGGTGTCACCTTACATGATGGATTGTGTGTCCATCTACACCCCCCCCCCACTGAAGTGCTCCTGTTATCTCTTTGTTTTTCTTTCTGTTCCGTTATAAAATGTTCAGTTCATGTTTCCTCCAGTTCATGAGTTCAGAAAAGTTTAACACGAGTGACATAAAAATGATACAAGTAATAATAAAAAAAAAAATTACCGGAATGTATGTGTTGATGGTGTGAATCAGTTGGTGAAGGTCAAACGTGAAATTGAAAATTCCACAAACGTCCACTTGTTTCTCTGACACACGAGTTCTAGTTCCACTGACTCTCCTGGATCTGAACAGCCGATCATCAACTCCCAGCATGTGTTTACGGGTGCTTCAACCTGAGGCTCGGGTCAGAGTTTGAATCACACAGTCAGATTGTCAGTTGTTCAGGACTGTAGTTAATATTGTTGATGACAATATAATATTATTATATTCTTTAGTCTTTAAAATACCCTGTAAGACATTTTCTTTGAAACACTCTGTTAGGGCAGTACAAATAAATTAGTAAAAATAACATACAGTACATCAGCTGATTCTCTGTTCTACCCTCTGTAACCATGGTAACAGCATCTCACTCTGACTCTGGAGAGCCTTTGTCTGGATCCTTCACTGATGCTCGAACATCATAACTCTATAGGAGGTGTACAGTAACAAAGTAAAACCTCTTTACTACTCTACTCAATTATGTATGATTATGTACTGTATGTACTACTACTACATTTTCAAATACGTTTTATTTAACATCACTTCTCCTTAAAGTGAATGTGTTGTTTTTTTTTAACTGAATCAGCTGTGGCTCTGACTCTGACCATCGTCCTTCTCTGCTTCTCTTTCCAGCACGAGGTCATTGCAGTGTCTGAAAAGGTAATCGTCCGGTTGGCGGACCTGGTGAAGTGGTCGGTACAAGACTGGTCGTCATGGAGCCAGGGTCTGAAGGCAGAGCCTCTCAAACCCTCCGTGGTCCGGGAACTCGGCACCAACGGGAGGAGAGAGGCCCTGCACCGGTACAGAGAGAGCACACTGACCAGTGGACTCAACTTCAAGGATGTTCAACGGGAGAGGGCGCAGTTGGGTGAGCTGCAGCTTCTTTTACTTCTGTCTGCGCTGCAGGTGTGGTCTGGATTGGTGACCAAAAAACTGCTTCAACTTTCTGGTCTACGAGTCTACGAGTGTTCAACTGTGAACTCCGTCTTGTTTTGAGGAGTGTTGTTGTGTTTGCTGCTCCTCTCTGGTTCACCACAGTAACATCAGCCACATTTCTCTACATCACTCAAAATCTACTGCATTCTAAAGGGAAACTGCTGAGTCAGCAGAACGGACTCTCTCTCTTTCTCTTTCTGTTTCTCATGGTCACAGCAGCAGATCAGAAATAACGGTGCTGTAGCTGTTGGTAATTCTGTGTCATAAGAAACGTCAGTTTGGTAAAAATTTGAAACCACAAAATGAAAAAGAAAGCTGCATCAGTTATTAGAGATAATCAGTCAGTGAGTCAAGTCAGTCAACAGAGTCTGGTGTCAACAACAGTGCGTTTGGAGCGGTGAATATCAAAGTGTGTCAGTGTCAGTTTGACCCATCAGCCTGAGTGGAAGTGAACAGACGTGTGGGACAGTAGCCTAGCTTAGTTCATGAGAGATGAACAATGACGTGACGAGGTTTTAGGCAGCTCAAAATCCCGGACAATTTCCGGGTTTAAAAAATACGACATGTCGAGGGAAAGGAGGACGTCTGGTCACACCAGCAACTGTGCTGGTGTCTGGCTGCTAGTTACAGTACCTAATTTAGCCCAACACACAATGCGGACATTATAGGTTACGTTTAAAATAATTTAGTGGTTTTTGTTTTTGTTTTTCATCTCTTACTTCTTCCTGTATCACAGTGGATTCGATCTTTTCCGCAGTGAAACCACCGGGGGTGTTTAGGTTGTGCTGCTCCCTCGGTCCCCTGACGACTGCCCTGATTTTTTGTAACTGCTGCTGCTGCTGCTGTTGAATTGGTCGGTGCTCAGACTGTGGGCCCGGTGCTGGAGCGCAGATCTGCTGATCCAGCTGCTTCATCTGTGCCCAGAGCCAGAACTGGAAAATGATATAAAAGTTGGAGAAATTAAAAAAAGGTCAGATTGAAATGACAGAGACAACAGTCGGAGATCGATCAGTCTACGGCAACATGACATCATCCACAGTCTGAGGACACAGATGTAACAGCAACACAAACAAAAAAGTCATCAGTTCACTAACAAGAAAATAAATCAATACGACTCTGCATCAACTTCACACCGACTCAACAATTAAACACCAATGCTCGTCACATGTGACGCATTATAATTAAAGCCACGTTTAAACATTCACACCCAGCAGAAATCAAGAAAGATCAGATTAAAGGGAAAAATCACCCACATAAATAAGGTGCCTTCAAAGACGTCTGTAAAATACAGTTGCATTCCATGTGGGGGAAAACAAATTACACAACAAACCAAACCATAAACAGTACGGACTTTCTAACAAATATTCCTGGTGTTGGTTCATTTTCTTTTTCTTTTCTTTCTTCTCTAGTGATTCCAAATGTAGATCCATCTGTCCCTGTGTCCAGGAACTGATGTTCAGATGGAACAGAGTCTGAGACTAGGATCACACTGGGAAAAAAAAAACACCTCAATGTATCATCGTGCCTATAATATCACAGTATATCATAATATAACGTATTAAAGGATTGTTCTTTTTCTATTTTAGTCAGTTGTACCGGTGAGACGTTTTAATTTTATTTCCCCGACCTTTAACCTTTATATAACGATTGACCTTTATCATTGAACAGATTGTTGTTATTTCAATTTTTTTTCATTTTCTTCACACG